ATACAAGAAAAGTGAAAAGAAAAAATAAAATAAATATTATAATTTATGCAAGAATTTACCTCCCCAACAATGGCGACAAAAGAAATTAAAAGCATAAATAAGAGATTAATGATTATTTTAATAGCAAGTTGTTTAAGATATAAGTTTTGAAGTCCATATTAAATTTATATTATACTTATCCTAACATAATTAGTGAAATCTTTTTACCTTGACATAATAAACTTAACTAAACATAATGAAGAAGAGAAACATAAATAAACAAGATAAAAATATAAATAAGATATAAGTTAACTAAGTAAAGGAAATGAAATTAAAAGCATAAATAAGAGATTAATGATTGCAAAACTTAAACATTACAAGAATATAAAGAAAGAAAGAGAAAGAGAGAGAAAGAGCAAGAACATGATCTTGATCTGAAAACCAAGATGCCTAAGTACATGGCAAATGCTCCCATTTATAAGCCAAAATATAAAAGTATTGATTTGTTGACTAATTATTGAATGGGTAGCCATATCTTGACTTGGTGACAATCCTTATCTTCTTGTCTAGACAAAACGCTATTGCTAACATCAAAATTTGAATAGATTATCTTCATGAAAATTCTAGAAAATTATCTTAGCATTCCAATATAAGAAAAAAAATTGGTGTATTTGGACTTCTAGAACTCGAGATATAGGCTGAACACCGAACAATATCTGGATTGTAGGACAGACTTATACTTCTCTGTTGTTGCTACAATTTGAACTTGAAAACAGCTTTTTAAATCTTGAACTCTCATGAAAGTTTTAGATCTATATCTTAGCTTTTCATTCATATAGAGCATACCTAAATCCAAGTTCTATAACTCCAGTTATGATTCAATAACCGAATGGTGTTTTAGTTTGGACTGAACCAACATCTCTTTTATAATCTTAGCCTTCTTTTTCTCTCATCAATTTTAGTAGTTAAACTCATCAATCAATCCCTTGATTATGTGATAGGATTGCATTTAAAATGAACATTTACCATAAATTAAAGGTATCTTGTATTATCATAAATGTTATTATAAAACATGTTCTAGTTAAAAAGTTATTGATACTTCAATTGCAAAATGATGATATAAAATCTTGATAAAAATGCAATTTTAAGTACTAATCAATCGGGACAAGTTAAAAAAAAAATAAGTGAAGTCAAAAACTCAGGCGACCTAGCTGACTCGGCGGGTTGACCCAATTACCTAGATGACTCGATCAAAAACCTAGTTCAACCCATTAACTATTTTTTTTTAACCAAAACAACATTATTTTGATTTATAAAAAAAATTAGGGTTGACCCGGGTGACCCATGCCATGGGCTGGTTCAACTATCGGGCTGGATTTAAAAACTCTAGTTATACTAGGAATAAAAAATTTTAGGACAACTGATGAATTGATATTGTTCCAATATCATTATATTGGAAAAAGTTTAGACAAATTTTTCAAAGGTGATAATAATATTGTCAAAACAATAATTGACATAAGTATATATTTGTTGAAGAATACATGTAAGAGAATAAACCAATTATAATATTATCAAATAATTAAAAGCATAATGAATTTTATGAAGTGAACAAAGCCTAAAACTGCTTACTTAGTTAACAAAATAAATAGATTTATTAATAATCTAAGTATGGATCATTAGGTAGTAATAATGGATCATTAGGTAGTAATAAAAAAAGGTACTTGAACATTTAAGGTATACCTTGGACTATGATCAATATTGTACTAGTTACCCAATGATATTAAAAAAGTATAATGATATCAATTAGATATCTGATACTAAGTATTTAAAATCCATATGTTTTCACATTTAATGGAGCAGTTATATTATGGAAATCCTATAAGCAAACATGTATCACAAGATCTATAGTAAAATTAAATTTTATTACTTTTTATAAAATTGGAGAGTAAGTCAAGTGACTTTGATATTTTTTTAAAGAATACTACATATTGGCCTAAATCAATGCCAACAATTTATATCCATTATGGTAGTCAATTTGTAATTGAAATGGTAAAACGTAGTATAAATAATACAAAGTCTAGACATATACATAATAGATGTAATATTATTAAATATTTGCTTTCAAATTAAATTATTTTAATTGATTATATAAAATCAAAGAAAGATATTGTAGATCTGCCAACCAAAAGTTTATTAAATGAGCTTGTGTATAATTAATCAAGGGTAATGGGTTTAAAGCCTTTAAAGATGAAAGGGTATAATGATAGTAGCTATACGTATTTGATTGAAGATCTCAAAATCTAGGTTCAAATAAAAAACCAAGTCATGAAATATTTTTGGCATTTGAAAATTATAATCTATTATTTATTATTATGATGAATGTTACGCTAGTATGATATGATATAAGGCGAGTATTGATCTTAATGATTTTCATATATTAGTATAACAAGTGGAGTATAAAAAATAATTTTAATGAAAAATCACCTATATGAATGAGAAATATGATATTTAAAAAAAATTAATAAATAATAAATTCTTTAAAACACTTATGAAAGAAAAGGTTGTTTAGAGCCAAAATAACCATAACTATAAGAACTTAAGGAAATTTTATATGGAGAATAATGTGAGTGCTATTATATTAATTTACATAAAAAATTAAATAATTTAAGATATTATATTTATTATTTCAAAAATAAATTCAATAGTATTTCATTAATGAAGGATTAAAGCTATAAGCTACTTCTCATATATAAATTCTTTGAGTTGAGTGTTTGTATTAGTTAAATAATTTTTATTTATATAGTAGATTGTTGGAATTAGTTTATAAAGCATGTAATTAACCTTTTAAAAAGGTATGCTCACATTTAAAGTTAAAAATCATATTGGATTTTATGATTGAATATTAGTTTTTTTTTTTTTATCTAAACTATGATATTTAGAAACCCTCGAGATATTGACTGACACGGTGGAGTCAACCCACTAAAAAATAAATCACTATCAGCAATGAAATATTTCATTTAACTCGAAAATCAGTGCTTAACATTAATAAAATTACGGCCACCAAATAATCACGTGCTACGCACGTCAGACCTTTCAGACCACATATATATAGGGCTCCAACCCACCAGGCAGCCCCGTATAATTGCTTTGAATTAGGGTTAGGTTTCTCACAGTTTCGTTCCTCCTTCGAATCGTAGAAAATCAAACCCTAACCCTTTCAATCATGTCTTCCAAGCTAGGTATTTTTCTCATATAATGGGAGCTTTTGGTTTTTTTTCGTTGTTTTCTCACGGGGAGTATGTTTTGCTCGATCGGAATTTTGATCAAATGAAAAATTGAAATTATCATGTGGTTGTTTGTTTTCAGGTGGAAAAGCTAAGCCCTTGAAGGCACCAAAGTCTGAGAAGAAGGAGTACGACGAGGTATTGTTTTCAATAATTTCTTTATCAATTTTGATTGGAAACTGTGCATTTTTTTTATTTTTTTTTCTTTGTTGTGCAAAGCATTGAAAGATTGGAACTTAAATAAATTGATTTTTATTAAATCTTTGAGTTTGGTACTTAGCTTTACTTTCTTGACTGGAAAGTATGCTCGATTTTAGTTGATTAACTTTGATTCTTATAGTTTATGGGTTTATGATATGGAAATTTATCTGGGTTTTAAGGAAAATCCAAATTGGAATTGAAGTTCGTATGCTTTAAGCTTTTAGGCATCTGATGAAATTGAAAGATCTCTTAATTGGCAATATGTGATTGAAGCTTGGGTGGGCTTTGCTAATATGCTATTGTTTTAATTGAGGATAGGTACAGTACCCCAAATTGAAGTCCTTTATGCTGCGTAAGCTTCAAATAAGAGAGTTGGATTTGGTGCTCTGAATTTATTTTCTCCATTTCAAAATTTATTTAGTACAAAATTTTAATTTCTTTTAATAGACCATACAATGTTGCTATATTGCTTTTCATTTGGCATCTTTATGCTTGTATGAATTCATTATTTCTATGGGATTGAGATTCCTTTTTATGAGTAGATGACTTGTTTTGAAACTATGGTGCTTGCTATATATTTTGCTTTTTCTAGAGAAAAAATTACCTCTACATGGAGGACTCTATTTGTATAAAGTGCTATGTTTTTTTTTTTACTCTGGCCATCCTATGATGCAATCCAGTTCGTAACTCTGATTTCCTACCATTCCCATTGCTATTGTCCTTAAATTTACTTCACTGATTTGCAGACTGATTTGGCCAACATTCAAAAGAAAAAGGAGGAAGAAAAGGTAAGAGACAATGGATATTACTTTAAAAAAAAAAGGAAAAGAAAAGAAACTGGATGTTTTATCTTGTTTATTACCTTTTGCAATAGTGAAAGGTGACTAATTTGATTGTTCTTGTGATGAGCAGGCACTTAAGGAGCTCAGAGCCAAGGCACAGCAGAAAGGGAGCTTTGGAGGTTCTGGGCTGAAGAAAAGTGGGAAGAAATGAAGATTTCAAACCCAGATAGACATGGTTTCCTTTAGTGTATTCTGAACTATATTATGATGATATCTCGTGTTTAGTGTTATGGTCGCTGATGTCCTATGCTTGATGTGTTGGTCTTCATCTTGAGCCAGAATTGCTTATAACTTTATAAATTGTGTGCATCTGTCCTCTATCCATGTGCCGACAATGTATTTGCTTGCATTGTTGGCAACTTTGTTCTATGTAACTCGTTCGCAATTTGTTGATTGCGCTTAGTAATGATGGGGTAATTGGTCTCCAAAGGATGTTTTTCCCTTTTAAATTGCATTAATGTGAATATTGCCCTCGCTGAGGATAATGGAAAAGACTGGGATAAATTGTGTTATTAGCACAAAAACAAAATAAATGGTGAAGTAGCATGATGAAGAAGTTTTGGTGAAGTAGTATAGTTTAAAGATGTTGTGTTTATAAGTGTGATATTATGTTTAGAAATCACTATATTTAATGTAAACCGTGACTAACTCGTTCGCAATTTGTTGATTGCGCTTTAGTAATAATGGTCTCCTGGGTAATTGATTTCCAAAGGATGTTTTTCCCTTTTAAATTGCATTAATGTGAATATTGCCCTCGCTGAGGATAATGGAAAAGATGGGATAAATTGTGTTATTAGCACAAAAAACAAAATAAATGGTGAAGTAACATGATGAAGAAGTTTTGGTGAAATAGTATAGTTTAAAGATGTTGTGTTTATAAGTGTGATATTTTAATAATATCATGTTTAGAATCACTAAATTTAATGTAAACTGTGATATTATAATTTTATTGCAGTTTTAAAATGTGATATTATTGTAATGTTGTGTTTCATAATCAAGATATTTATAAGGAGGTTGTTTTGTGAAACAAGTAGATATTGGAGAAAAATAGTTGGATGGTAGCCAAAATAATTTGATGGTTTCGAGAAATAGTCATAATACTGATTCGGCCTCTGTCTAGTCTTGGAATTTGAGTTTTGAGTCTGAATAAATTTATAAAATTATTATTTTTTAATTTAAAATTTAATTTACTTTATAATTTTAGAGAGTTAAAAATTACAAGTAACCTAACGAATAGGAAGAAGAAAAAAAACTTAATTTCTCTTTTATTTTTATTTTCCTTTTTTTCCTCCTCGGTTGGGCCCTTAAACTCTTATTGGGTTTGGTTGGATTACCTTCCGGGACTAAATTGAAGAGGAGTTGAAGAATCAGGGATTAAAACGGAGATGTTCTTATTGCAAAGGAGGAGGAGGTGGTGGAGGTAAGCAAGGAACCAGAAGATTAAGGAAGCTTAGGGTTTCGATCGGAGAAGAAGAAAACGAGAGGTAGATCTTGGTTCAAAACCATGAAAATTACACCAAATGTTTTAGAGTGAAAATGATAATTAAACTGACTCAAGTGGTAAATAATTATAAGAACAAGTTTAGCTCAAGAACACGAAATCAGTCGGCTTAGGAGGAAGCAACTGCTTGTTGGAAGCTAAAAGAATGAAAAATAAAAAAGATGGTGAGCTTCCTGCAACCCGAGAGAAGACAAAAGGAGGGGAGATTGAGAGTGACAGACAGGTTAAATTGAGATCAAAAGACTCTTAGGATACATTAATAAAAGTTAATAATTGCGTGCGATAACCAAAGTGGAGTCTGAGTGCCAAGAAGGAAAAGGCTTTTCTCAGGAAAGACATATATAAATGTTTAATTTTAATAAAGACGAAGCAATAATCGCATAGGCAAAGCTTCAAAGAACAATAAAAGGAATGTTCATTCGATGGCTGACTAATAATACTTGATGGAAAATATGGTAAAAATTATTTTTAAAAAAATTTTAATTTAAAAATAAATTAAAATATATTTTTATTTTTAAAAAAATAATTTTGAAATCAATATATCAAAACAATTCAAAAATATATAAAAAATTTAATTTTAAACAAAGAAATAATTGTTGTAGGAGACATGTTTCAAATGGCCCCCTAAAAGCCCAATCAATTTTTAAAACTATTTTTATTTAACAATAAATAAAATAAAAATTAATAGGAAATTAAGCTATTTAAATTTAAGAGAAAACGATGTATTTTAGTCAAAATTTGGTAATGAGCCACTCTTTTGGTTATCCTATTTATTTTTACATTGTAAAAGTATTTATAAAAAAATTTAATTTTTTTTATTTTTTTAAATTATTTTTTTATGTTTTAGATTATTTTAATATACTAATATTAAAAATATTAAAAATAAATAAATAATATTTTAATATATTTTTAAATAAAAAAACTTAAAAAAAATAACTAGAAATCAAACTCTCAAACACCAGGTCACAATAGTCAAGGAAGAGAAGAGAGGCTATAGGAAAGTGAGGAGAACTGTCAGGAGATCATTGGCTTTGATCGAGCAGTGAACGTGCATGGTAGTAGGATGATGACACTTGGCACGCAAAAGGTTATAGCCGATTCCCGTTTCTTGTAATGAAAACGGCAGCCTGTGGAGAGGGAGTCAGCAACAACTAAATCTGGGCAATCTATACAAATCCATTTAAAATTTAAAACTCAAATTATACAAATCCATTTAAAATTCAACACCCAAATTAAAATTCTTGGGTTGAGTGTTATTTATTGATACCAAATTGAGCAAGAAGAGGAGAAATTATCAACAAATTATTTTCTTTTTTATTCAGTCAATTTTTTATTTGTATCCAACATTTTACATTCAATAAAGTTATTTATTTTCATCCTTTTTTTTTTAATTTAGATCAGTTTCAATTAGATACAGGTTTATATATATATATCAAAGATACTTTTCCTTATTGATGTTTTTCTTTTCTATTTTTTTAATGAAAAATATATTTGTATCAGAAAAATAGTTTTGAAAATAAAAAATAACTATAATCTGAAAAGCAAGCTTAATAAAAACACATGTATCTATAATTTGAGTGTTATAAATTTTAAAATTATTAATTAAAAATATATTTTAACTAAAAAATATATAAAATTATATATTTGAGTGTTATAAATTTTAAAATTATTAAAAATTTATTGTTAATTTTAATCAAAGATAACTATAATTAAAAAAAAAAAAAGAAGCTAGACCCTCCGAGAATTAAAATGTTAGGCCAGCACGCTCGTTATATTAAAAAAAAGCCTAGGAGTGTTTAGCCTAGCCTGCGAGGGCAGGGCAGGCATTGGCCATGCTTATATGTTACTAAAATAAATTAGATAAATTTTAAAAGATATAATTTAATTGAAAAGATCTTAAGTTTGTTATATAAAATTACTAATTTGATTATTATAAATTATAGTATCATTAAAAACTTATTTAATTATTAATTTTAATAAATTAATCCAAACACCTATAATTATTATAAAAAAAACTAGACGCTCCGAGAATTAAAATGTTAGGCCAGCACGCTCGCTATATTAAAAAAGGCCTAGGAGTGTTTAGTTTTTTAGAAAGGCAAACAACACATCGACATGTTCTCTGCAACAAATTCCAGTCAAAATGGGATGCGAGTATTTTGTACCTAAAACCCAAACTTTAACCTCTTTTTTCATATAAACACCCCTATAAAGAACCTCATTTGCAATCTTAAAACAACCTTAAATTAATCTAAAAATTCAAAGGAATTTCATTTTATTTTTACCATCATGGTCGAAGGAAGAAACCACCTCTATGAAACACACCCTCTCAAAGTTGAATCTACCGACTCCAAGATTGGCCTCTATAATGGTTGCGTTGTATCCATTCGAAAGTTCTTTTTTCTTTTTTCTTTTTTTCAGCGATTTTCTCTTTTATTTCCCAACATTTAGGATTTAAACTCAATAAAAATAAAGTTTTAAACTAGAAAAATAAACATCTAAATTAGGTTTTTGTTTCGAGGTCTTAAATTAGTTCTTCTAAATCAAAGATTTTTTTCAGAAAAAATCTGTAAAGAAAAACAAACCTTCATTTTCTAGGGGAAACTATTCACTACCCCGGAAAATTATGCTCAAGAAGAATGGATTAAATAAGAAAAAGCTATGATGATAATAATAATAATAATAAAAACATAAAAAGCTATGCATAATACCTAGGAACAAAATTGATAAAAAGATTTCTCATACAAGGGGGCATGCAATACGCAATCCTAAACTCCCCTCAGGCAGCGGAGCTGATGTCACCCTGCCTAGCAAAAAAACACAAACGCCTGAATTGCTTGCAAACTTTCTCCATGGAAAATCTACATGCTGACCCCACCAACACCAAGGGAAGATCCTTCTTTTTCTGTCTTATCCAAGACTTGAATGAACTCGGAGCTTTGGCATTGCATATCCGCTTGTACTTTCCATACAAGATGCCCATGTCGTGAATTATTGCTATTGGAAAGTAGCCAAGTATGTGCTCTCACTTCTCACCATCTATATCTTCAATTACAATATAGCTGAACCATATGCGAAAAATCACTTTGTTTTTTTTTATAAAATATTATGGATTATTACCATAAAATTATTTTTTAATTTTTTTAATTATTTTTATTAATTTAAATTTTTTAATATTAAATTGATTGAAAATTTAACTTTCTAATTTATTTTTAAAACACTGTATATTGCTATAATATTTCTTCATATTTTTTTTGTTATAATTTTTTTTAAAATTATCTTTGTCAATTTTTTTTAATATTGAACTAGTTAAAAATTTAGCTTTATAATTTTTTTTCTTTAAAATAGTATAGATTGCTGCAATGTTTTTTCATATAGTTTTTTTTGTTTTTTGTTATGATTTTTTTTTAAATTATCTTTATTGATTTTATTGGGAAAAGCATTGTAATTTTTCTCAAAAAACATTATAGATTGCCACAATGTTTCCTCACATTTTTTTGTTATATTTTTTTAAATTATCTTTCTCAATTTTTTTTAATATTTCAATTACAAGTAAGGATAAATCATGTGGGAAAAGCACTGTAGTTTTCCTTACAAAACACTATGGATTGCTACCGTATTTCTCTACCTGGGTTTTTTTTTTGTTTTTTTAATGATTTTTTTAAATTATTTTTGTCGAGTTTTTTCTTTTAATATTGAGCTTATTGAAAATTTAGCTTTGTAATTTTTTTTATTAATAAAAAAACTAAATTATATTACAAAAAGTTAAATCATGTTGAGAAAGTATTGTAACTTTTCTCACAAAAAATTATAAATTACTACAATTTATTCTATTTAATTTTTAATTTATTTTATGACCAACACAATTTTTTTCCTTATAAAATATTAATTCTATCATATTTTTAATTTTTATTATTTATATAATACTGATCTGCAAATATAACATCATCAAATATATATTTGGTCCATAAATTTGCAGGAACGCGTGGCATACCATCTAGTTAATAATTAAAATAGAACGTGTTTTTAGTAGAATGTGGTGTTCTCTTCTTCACATGTTGTTATGAATAGTATTGTTCCTTTGATAGTATTTTTTTATATATATTTTTTAATTATTTAACTTTAATTTTTTGTAATTTCATTCCTGCAGTTGATATTAATATCGTTCCATCCATTGAGATTTACTTTCTTTGTATATTATCAAGTATTCGAAGTCTATTAATATTTTAGTTTTAAATTAAATATTAATTTTATAAAATAGAATTTTTGTTTAGTTGAAAAGGATTTGAAAGAACAAGGACCATAATAAAT